ATAGTCCCAGGCTAAGTGCTTTACATAATATTTTTGTAGTCTAAGTGCATAATAATCTTGTATAGAAAGACCTTTTGAAGACCACGAAACTTATTTTAAGTTGTGTTTATTTTGTAATATTTTGAAAAAAATTATAAATTCAGAATTTTAAAGATTATTATTTTTCGTGGACCGCTCATCTTCTCCGTCCGTTGTAATTTGTACTATCACATTTGTAAAAGTCATCCTTTCAAAATTAGCTTTGAAGTAATCGGGTTAGAACTAATCAGACTAGATGATTAAGAGAACAACCTCTAAATAGGTTTTTTTCTTCAAATAATAGGACTTATTTTTCTATAATGTACCACCTTTACCTCTCTTTGGCAATTTCTTATACAATCTTGAATCCATACTTATTTTATACAGTTTACCGTCGGGTCTTGCAAAAGAAAGAGATATAACTACTAGTCTATAATAGAAGTAAGTAAAAACTCTATTTCTTTGCACAAATAGAGTTGGGTCTTACCGTCGGGTCTTATACTTCACGTATAGATCTTAAGACTATAATTGCACAACTCTATTTCTTTGGATTTAGGATACCCACTTTGTCATCTACATATGCCTGTTTCAAAATTGATTTTCTTAAATTCATTAAAAGTTAACAACTCATGTATTACTCCTATAAATGGTTCGAATTTGAATGCCGTTTTGATATATTATTCCGTCCGTCCCTATAGATTTCCCCGTTATGCATTACATGCCTTGAGAGTACTGGAAATACCTTTGAAGCCCCGGAGTTTCAAAATTTCCCTCTCTGCCACGTCAGCTTTAACTTACTTCACAGTTTCATTGAAAATGGATATGAAGCCCTGAGGCTTCAAACTGGTGGTTCAAACCTTAATTTTCTTAATTTTTTATTACATATTTTATAAAATTAAATTAATAAAACCTTATTAATTAATTAAATTTAAACGAAAATAATTCATTAAATGAAAATAATACCTTCAATAAAAAAGAACATTTAATTAAAAAATTTACATTAATTAAAAACTTAAAACAAATTATATTTAGCTTTGATCTCGTTATGTCTTCTCTCAAGCAAATTATATTCGCTTGGTCGTTTGACTCGAGACCGGACAAAAGAACATTAAAACTGAAGAGATTCATGTTAAAAGATGAAAAAAATTGAATATTATTTTTATTTGAAGAAGATAGAGAAAAGATTTTGTGGGCGTTTAATTTTAAAAAAACAAATTGAAGAAGAAAGATTTTGTTTGTTAGTTTTTTTTTAAAAAAAAGAGTTAATTTATAGTAGAGTTTTTTTTAGTTTGTAACAGCGTGTAGCCATTTGAATGGGGAGATTCAGTGCAAAACGTCCGTTATAAGTTTGACGCAGTACCAATAACGCCCGGATGAAGCCCTTGGGAGCGGTGTTTAATGCCCCTCAGGCGTTAAAAGTGCAATGACGCCATGGGACGTTACAAGCATTACCACAGCCTTGACCCTTGTTCGACTTTATTTTCAATTTAATTTATTTATTATAAGTCTAAAATTTAGAATAAAATATATAGTAATAACTATAATAAAAGGTCTAAAACAAGGGAGGACAAGTCTATATTATTTATTGAAATGAGAAACAAAAATAAGCAAACAGAGTTAAATTTGATCATGTGAATAGTATTTGAGAAGATCTATGGAGAACGAAGAAAGTAATGAACTAATTCATGGAAAATTCTCTTGATAAAAACAAAAATGCTATGAGAATACAAAAAGAGGATTCTTAAGTCTTTTAAGACTAAAATAAGAGTTCACACTGACATTATTAAACTGTTGCACTTACCATATTGTTACATTGCAACTGTCACACTAGCAGCGCCACACTGCCATCCGTCGTCGTCGGCCACTAGAGCCCTGTCACCATTTGCCGATATTGACCGGTGGTCCTCCGGTGGTTGGCTGATCACACTGCTACATTTATTCTAGTATTTTCATCTTTTTTACTCTTATCAAGAAAGATTTCTTATAATTCACGAGTATCTTCTACAAATTCTCAAGGATTTGCAAGCTACCCTCAAACTTTTTAGCAAGAATTTCTTGGTTATTCTTTAGTGTTACAACTTGAGAAAATAATGACTATTTGCAACCGTATGAAGATTTGTATGAAAATACAAAAATAAAGTTCTCCACCTTAGCCTACTACAAATGATTAATGTTCATACTTGGCGAGTGTAGAAGGAAGTTAACCACCCAAGAAGTCACCGCTATAATAAAGATCTAAATCACGCATTATATATAATTTTAATTAATTATATGGAGTGAAAGTGAAAGTAAAACACATGAAACTGATTTATGGAATGAAGGAATTAAGTATCATTCCATTTTCATTCATATGTTACAAAAAAAGTTTCTGGTGCGGTTTCAATTTAATTTATTTGAAAGATTATCATAAAATTTGAAAAAAATTGTTTATTCAAATATCACACCAAAAACTTTGTAAAATTGTTTATTCAAATATCACACCAATAAACTTTGAAAGATTTATGGAGTATTATTTTATCTTATTCTAAACCCACCTTTAAAAATAGAGTCAGGTCTCGTACCGCATAATGAAAAGAATATTTTTGGGCGAAAAGAGTATTATTAAGGGTAAAATGAGCCGTAAAAAAAGGTTAAATGGTGATTTTAATTAGAAGAGAGTATTTTTTTTTGGACAGATGAAATGTGAAAGTGGAGAGATATTTCTGGAAAATTACTCACGGGTGACGCGAGTTTTGTTGAAATAACTCTCAGGTCCCTCTATTTTCAAGAAGACAACGGATGTCCTTACATTTTGTTGTAATGACTGACAGGGGACATTCCATCCGATATTTCATCCATAAACGTTAATAAATGTATTTCTTCCTATTTTTTTCCTTAATGTTTTATGGTAATAACTCTTAGGTCGCTCCTTTTTTTATCTTTGTTTTTCTTTTTTTTTGTTACTGTTTTTAAAGTGGTTTTTTAAAATATCTTCTATAAAATCATATAAAAATTCAAAATTATTTGTATGATATAAAAATAAATGAAATAAAAAATTTTATAAAAAAGAAAAAACCGAGTAATGGCAAAATAGGAAAAAATGATAATGACAAAATAGGAAAAAATGTATTTATTAACTCTTATGGATGAGGTATAGGATGAAATGTACCCTCCCAGTCATTACAACAAAATGTAAGGACCTCTGTAGTCTTCCTGAAAATAGAGGGACCTGAGAGTTATTTCGACAAAATTTACGTCACCCATGAGTACTTTTCTGGAGATATTTTTGGAATGGAGGGTGTAGATAATTTCATATAAGTAATCTAGACAATGCAATAACATATTTCCTTCGTCCCAAAAACTCCTTTCTCATTCTTTAATTTCTTGTCCCACAAAGTCATTCTATTTTCTATTAAAAACTATTTTTACACCTACTAATTCTTAATTTACCAATCACATCATAGCTTTTTACTAATAATCTTCTCATCACATCAAGAATATTTTGGGAAAGTCAACACAAATATATCCTTCTCCTAAATTTTATAAAAGTCAAAATGGAAACATCTTAATAGAACGGAAGAAGTATTAATAATTAACCAACGGTAAATTTTTTTGAATGTGATTAACTCAATCACAATGGATAGATTTAATCTACAGGTCTAATAGAATAATTGATAGATAACTAGAGTTAATTAATAGAACAGGCCGGTCAACGTGATCAAAACATACATTACATTACCACAATCTACGTTACGAATTAAAGAAAAAAAAAGTCAAAACGAACTTTTTCTTCATTCACACACACATTACACTTGAATTTGGTCTTTCAAATTTCCTATAAAGTCCAACTAATGAAACCCATCCATCACTATATTTCAATTCTCTTAATAAGACCAGATATAGATTCCAACTTCCAACACCACACATAAACATAATGTTCAGATATTCTACGTTGTTTACTCTACTGAGTGTTGTGGTCAATTTTGATCAAGTGTTACTAGTGAAGGGAAATGAGGTGGTGGTTGACATGGGGATGGCCCCGGCGCCGGCTCCGGCGGTGATCGGAGGTTTGGTGCCGGCCATGTTTATATTTGGAGACTCGCTCATTGACAATGGAAACAACAACAATCTATTCTCACTTGCTAAGGCCAACTATCCCCCTTATGGAATCGACTTCAAGAAGGGTCCTACCGGCCGCTTCTCTAACGGTTACACCATCGTTGACGAAATTGGTACGTTCATTTTTATGTCGTTCGTTATTTTATATATGAGTTTTTTAACGCCATATTGACCAACTAAGCTACGTTCTGATGACACTGATATCTGCTTGGAATTATTGGTGCACTTGTGTAGGGGAATTGCTTGGATTACCATTTGCTCCGCCGTACTCTGATTCTCCCAGCATAGACCAAATGCGTTACTGAGTAAACTACGCCTCGGCCGCTGCGGGCATTCTTGACATCACCGGGGAACACTTTGTAAGCCTAATCTTTTACTCTCCCGTTTCATAAAACAGTTCCACATTCACCTTTCACTCTTCCCATAAAAACTTTCATTTTTTCATTAAAATGTCTATTTTACTCTTACTAACTCTTATCCAACATATCACATCAAATTTATTCACAATTTCACGTCCTGTTTCTACGCATCATATCACAAGGTTACTACGAGTACAAAATACACACTCCTTAAATTTGTCTAAAGTAGAAAACTAAACTTTTTTGCGAAGCAGATCGAAACACTAATTATTTGATAACATTTTCAAAACGTTAAAACCTAAGTTTACCTACATTAATTTGCAGGTGGAGCGCGTTCCGTTCAACGAACAAATCACAAATTTTGCGAATACAATAGACGCACTATCGGGCAACTTAAGCGCGGATGTGGTGAAAGCGGACATACCGAATTGCATCATGTTTGTGGGGATGGGTAGCAACGACTACCTCAACAACTACTTTCTCCCTGGTTACCCAACAAGTATGATGTACAATGCTCAACAATTTGCTGATCTTCTGATTCAGCAATACACCCAGCAACTCACTGTAAGAACCCAATCCAATCAATCATTGTTCCATAACATTAAAATTCTCTTTTCCTTTTATTTATCTAACTTGTTCAAATTAAATGGCCATCATATCGTCATCTACTATATATAGAGACTGTACAGCCTTGGAGCAAGGAAATTTGTACTGGGTGGGGTTGGACAGATGGGATGCATCCCAACAATGCTGGCCAGAACTGAAAATGGGCAGTGCTTAGATGAAGTGAACCAAGCAGTTGCCCCATTCAATGCCAACATGAAGCAGATGATCGACAACTTCAAGTCCACTCTTCCCGACGCCAAGTTTGTCTTTCTAGACACCCAAAACATGTTCCGAAACATCATCGCCAACTCCAAAACATACGGTACGTACCACACATTATTGTTTAATAAATTGGCCTGATGTTTTAACACTCGATGCATGATCCGTTCTTTCGTGAGACATTTTTTTCAGGGTTTAGTGTGATCGATCGCGGTTGTTGTGGAGTTGGGAAGATGAATGGGGAAGTGACATGTCTTCCATATGAACAGCCATGTGATGACAGAGAACAGTACATATTTTGGGATGCATATCACCCCACATCTGCTGTCAACATAATACTTGGCAAGATGTCTTTCAATGGAGGCCCTGATGTTGTGTACCCCATGAACATTCAGCAGCTTGCCCAGACTCAAGTTTGGCCATTTTAAGATTATGTGAAACTCATCAGTTCCATTTAATCATTTTATTGAACTTCTAATTGATATCAAGGGATTATTCAATCTTTATTGCAATGTGTAAGCCAATATGAGGTGTTGGATTGGTTATGACAATTGAAACTTGGGGATATTTTTTTTTAAAACCTATGCAGTCATTACTTCAATGGTTTTCTAAAAAAACTTCAATGTGTAATCTAATACTCTCTCTCTCTCTCTCTTTGTGCGAGAGTATTTGTTTTTTTTAGACTTTTTGTGGTCAATCAAGATTGACTTTTGACATGTAATTAAATAAATAAAATGGTATATTAGTTGCATAAACAATAATTTGAAGATAAACTAAAATATTTGATATAAAATGATTGTGAATTTTCCCTTGTATAAGCATAAATGTAATAATACTCCGTAGTTCATAATCTAAATAATCGTTCAAGACTCAACTATTAGACCAAAAAACTATTACAATAATGATTCTAGCATAATGATTTTCTATTTGGGAATAACCTAGGGAAAAAAAGACTAAAGTATGAGTAAAATATTAAAAATATACCAAAATAAGAGTTTCATGTTTTTATTTCCCAAATAGGAGTTAAAAAGTATTTATTATATGTCAATCATGGTCATATACATTACCAAAAAATATTGTGAAATTTCCATATAAAGTACCACATTATCACAGTGTTAACTTTTATTTTGGAAATAATAATATGGAGCTTCAATTTTGATATTTTCTCTAAGTTTTAGGGTGATTTTTTAATAACCTGCCTGGATATTTTACAAATTCGTCCGTAAGCATTATATTACTCTCTGTCTTAATTTAAGTTGTCTGTTTGTTATTCACAAAGTCAAACTTTAACCACTTTCTTTACTCATTTTCACTACCCATTTGAGAAAAGATTAGTTTTGTCACTTTTTTTGTCCAAATTGCCATAATCTTCCTTCTTTGCTCTTTACCTTTAATCTTTTGAAGATATCCTTCCAAGCCTTCCATTGCATGTACCCCCACCTGCAAAGAGATTGAACCTGGAGAACACATCCTTGTGCATCTGTTTTGCAAATGTGCAACACCAAAACAGATCCCTCGCCGCCGTTTCCACTTCAGTCCCACATAGAGAGCAATTAGAGTCAATAGACAAATACCTGCCTACCCTATCTTTACTTTGCATTCTACCTTTCATCAACAGCCACGTAGTAAACTACATCTTGGGGGGGGGGGGTGAACTTATTCCAGACCCAATCCCTCCACTTTGGTTTGTCATTTTTGCCCTGAAGCCATACATATCCTCCCCTGACAGTGTATGCATTTGTAGCAGCAGGCATATTCCTAAACACCTTCCTTACTTTGATCAATTCCCTCTAATAATGACAGGATTCGAACTTTGGTGTGTAACTCCAGAAATCTTAACCTTGGATGTATCTATTATGTATCCATTTCACCCATGGCACGTCCTTTTTTTTCGAGCAACATCCAAATTGATTTTCATCACATTAGCTCAATTCCAGTTAAGAACACTCGTAATACCCAACCCTCCATATTTTTTCTCCTTACAAACATCATCCCAATTGACCAGTGGACTTTTGTATTCTTGAGAACCACCCCAAAGATATTATCTAGAGATGGACATTATTTTCTTCATCACCATTTTAGGTAGAACAAAAATCTTTGACCGAAAAGATATGATTCCCATAATTACAAAATTAATAATTCTAATTCTAGCACTATCTGCGAAGTGTCTAAATCCCCAAGCATTAAATCTACTAGTTAATTTATTCCAAGTATTATCACATCCACTGATCCTTCGTCTGGCTATGGTTATTGGGCTACCAAGGTATGTAAAAGGCAGACTCTCCAACATCATATTGGTCAATTTAAGCAACTCATCCTGTCTTTGTTGATTTACCGTTCCAAAAACAACATGAGATTTATGCTTATTAATGAATAGTCCAGTAGAGAAGTTAAAGTCTTCTAAAACCCTCATAATGCATTTAATAGATTTATGATCAGCCTTGCTAACAAAAATGAGATCATCAGCAAAACACAGATTGACAATCTTCAAGTTAACACACATAGGATGAAAAGCAAACTTCTCTCTACTAACTTCCTGTTAAAAACTTCTACTCAGGTATTCCATTACCAATACAAACAACAAGGGAGATACATGATCTCCTTGTCTCATCCCTCTAGCCCCTTTGAAGTAACCATGGTGACTCCCATTAATATTAATAGTGTAGGTAGGAGTAGTTATGCAGAACATGACCCATGTAATGAAAAGATCAAGAAAATTAAGGCTATAGAAGATACCTCTAATTGCTTCCCAACATACAGAATCATAAGCTTTTTGGATATCTAACTCTATCATGCATCCTGGAAAAATACCTTTCTTTGTGTGCCCTTTAGCAATTTCCTGACACATAAGAACATTGTGGGTTAGTTCTCTCCCTTGGACAAAGGCCCCTTGGTTAAGATCCACAATAGATGGGAGAACCAACTTAGTCTCAAACAAATAAGCTTAGAAATAACTTTGTATCTAACATTGCAGCATGCAATAGGTCGATAATCAGCAAAGCTCTTAGGATCAAATTTTTTGGGTATGATAGTCAAGAAGTAGAGTTGATCTATCTTAAAGTTCTTCCCTCCCCAAACAAATCCAATACTGCTTTAGTAGTTAATTCTCTCACTACCTTCCATTGTTTCTTGAAAAAGCCACTATGATATTCATAAGGCCCTCGGATCTTACTGCTAGGTATTCAAAATAAAGCTTCATTGACTTGCTGAGGACCAAATCTCTTAATCAGCCCCACATGTTGCTCAGTAGTCAAACATTTCCCTCTCTTCATGATATTCACATCAATGTCTTTAGTCATAGTTCCAGTGCCCAGCAACTTTTTGTAAAAAAAATCAAACACCTTAGAAATATCTCTTGTCCCCTCTACATATTGTCCATGTTCATTTTGGATGCCCATAACCTGATTATGAACTCTCCTCTTCTTGATCCAAGCATAAAATAGGTGAGAGTTATTATCCCGTTCAATAATCCAATCTTGTTTACTCTGCTGACATTTCATGGGGAAAGAAGCATGAATAGATTTATGTAGTTTATCCATTAGCTCCATTTCCTTGTCTAACAGCAGCTGGCTCATATTAGAATGCTTAATGTCATTTTAAAGTTTCAACAGATTATCCCTGATCTCATAAATCTGTTTGTGGATATCCTTGAACTTTGATTTGTGGATCTTTTTTAGTGGTTATTTAATGTTCTTAAGATTTTAAATTAACTGAAACATATATTTTTGAGTTTTGTCATCCCTCCAATATTGATTAAGGGGCTGTTTGGCAACTTCTGAATGGGTAAGTGCTGAACCAGTAAGAGGTCTGAATCATTAAGTGCTGAACAAGTAAGAGATCTGAACCATTAAGAGCTAGTATATTGCTTAACTATTCAGAGGCAAATGTCTGATCAATTCAGATAACAGCTCTTAACCATTCAGACTCTGTATAATACTTAACCATTCAGAGGCAAATCTCTTAACCATTCAGACATCTGAACCATTAAGAGGCTGAAACAAACAGTCTGAACCATTAAGTACTGAATCATTCAGACATCTGAACCATTAAGAGGCTGAAACAAACAGCCCCTAAGTGTCTACTGAAAACAAGGATCCTTCATCCACATATTGCCGAACTTGATGCTGTTGCCTTGTCTTTGAATTTTGATCCTAGTTACCAACAATGGAGAGTGATCACAAATTCCTTCATTCAGTACTATTGTTTTGGTTTCCAACTTCAACATCCACTCAACATTAGATAGTGCCCTATCCAGCTTCGAGAAGATTCTACATTCAGCCTTCCGTCTATTTGACCAAGTATAATAAGACCCATTAAAGGGCATCTCTTCCAGTCCACTATCCAGCACACAGTCTCTGAAGTCTTTTATTTCTTCATCAGTAACCATATTATTACCCCCTTTCATGTCTTCAGCCTTCAAAATAGTATTGAAATCTCCAATACAGCACCAATGGTCAACCATATATTTAGCATAATCCCTGATTTTAGTCCAAGAGGGCCTTTCTACCTACTACCACTGTCATTAAAAGCATAAATGAAAAAGACTGAGTAGTTATTATCATGCAGACTTCTAACTTTGCAATGGACAGCCTGGGCAGAGCAATCCATAATCTGAAAACAAATTTTATTATTATTCTAGACCACCCAAATCCTACCCAAAGAATGGTGGTTAATATTTTTGTAGGTTCGCCAACTATTAAACATCTTATTGAGAATATCCTTCTCTTTCTCTTTTTTATGTTGGTTTCTAGAATTCCATCAAGCTAACATTATATTTATTCAACATGCTTTTTATTTTCCACTGCTTATGACGACTATTTAGTCCCCTTATATTCCAACATAACATCATGAGAGGAAAGGATAACGACTTCCATAGGAAGGATCCTCCCCCTTATGCAGCAGTTCTTGATTTTCCTAGCACTCTTCTTTTTGTTAACCATCTGGAACCCACTCCGATCATCAGTATTGTCATCCTTCTTTTCTATTTTATATTTACTTCTATTCTCCTCCTCTATCGTACTTACTGTCTCTTCTTCCTTTGGCTGTTGTTTATGTGTATTCTCCACCCTTTCAGTTGATGATTCCTTAGGTGTTGTTTAGGGCTCCAAATGTTTTTGATAATCCTTTCTTGCTTTTCACCACTTTCTTCTACAGAACACATTTGAGTGTCCCATATTGTTACATTTGGAGCAAATAGTAGGTTTCCATCCGTATATTATATCCTGTGCAATAACTGGGCCTTAGTCATTAACAAAACTCAAGAGCTATGGGAAATCCTATTGAACTTGCACTTCCAGCTGGATTCTAGCATAGCCCCATTTTGCCCTTGGTTTTGTTGCTTTATCCATCTTAATAGGCTTCCCAGGTATGCTTCCCAGCTTGCTTAATCCTGACAAACTCCGGTACCTCATACTCAGGTTCGGGAGTTCGATCTGGAACATCCTTCAATTCAGTAACATCAACTTTACATCTAGGAGTCCACTTTCTAACATGCATCCGCTTATTATCAAAGTAGTAACTACGTTTAGCTACTTCATCCCTTTCCTCTACCTTATGAAAGTGCACAATATACTAACCATATTTTAAGAACGAAACATCTTCAATATTAACATCTCTCCAGATTCTGGTCACAAATCCTCATATCACTTCCACTGGCGGATTAGCTCCCAAAACACAACATAAAAGGGCTTTATTTTCCATTCATCGCACTCCTCAATCACATCATCTTCCGTCATTTTAGCTATTAACTGACCATTAATCAGATCCGCTGGGATAAATGAAAGATTAACCTGAGTTTTAGCCAAACCTCCAACCACCTCTGCGTAGCTCGCCTTTTTTTTTTTCCTTCTTAGAGACCTCCTCCATATCTCCTTTCTGTTCGTGGTCCAGTTCTGATTTAGACCCTTTCGTCCCTTCCGAGATAACGCTGGTTGGATCTTGCTTCTCTATCAAATGTGTTTTAGGATTGGGAATTTGCTTGTCTACTGATGGGCCAGACCAATTCGCTGCTCCCGATTGTGGTGAAGCAGCCGTAGCCAAACTTTATACTCCCTCCTCAATAAATTTCCTCCCTCGTTTTTTTTGTTCCTAAATAAACTTCTTTTTTCTCCTAAAAAATATCTTTTAACCCTTACTTTTTCATACCCTACCTATCACATCATACCCTTTTACTTATAATCTAACTATCACATCTTACTTTTACACATCAGATCAAGGGTATTTTTGGAAAATCAATACAAAAATATCCCTCCCTTAAATCTTCAAAAAGTCAAAAATGGAACTTTATTTAGGGACGAAGGGAGTATTAATTTATTTTTTAATTTTATACAAATTTTCAAATAAAGTGAATTAGAAATAACTTCAATCATACTTCATAAGGAGAAGAACCAAACTAGGAGTAAAAGTTACTCCCTCCGTCCCCCTAAGATGTTCTCATTTTGACTTTTGGTGGTTTTTAAGGAGAGTTGAAAAAAGTGAAAGTTTACCATAATACCCTTAATGAAATATGGGTGGAGTGTATTAAATGAGGTGGGTGAGGTGTAATAAATAAAGTAAGTGGGGGTAGTTATGGTATTTTAATTGTTAAAAAATGAAATGTGAAGATCTATTGTGGACAAAGAAAAAGAGCTATTGAGAAGATCTATGGGGGACGAAGGGAGTATGTTATATTCTCAAATAGGAACTAAAACTTAAACTTCTCTAAATAGAAATAATTAATTAATTTTTGTCCTCAATTCTCTCTTCTCACTCTCTCTTCTCCCTTGCTTTGTTTTTTTTCTTTTCTTGCATGGCTGTGTATTTACATACTTAAGAGGGGCTGGGCCTTGGCATTGAGTTATGGGTAGAAATTAGAATAGATTAGGAAATTAATTACTATGTATTTAATATTATAAAATCTTTATATTTATTTATTCAATTATAACATCTATTTTGCTCATAACTTTTTACACTAAAGTCTAAACTTAACAAACTTTATGTTGTTACTCATCTTTTTACGAGATCAACCCAATTACCTATTTTTGAATTAAAAAGTTGGCTTTACAAATAGTTTATATTTTTGAGTCAGAAAATAAAATAGGACATTATATTTATTTTTATCAAAATAACGGCTAACTATTAAGCCGACTAATTTTCTCACCCAAAGTTAAAATATTACGGAGTATCAATAAATGATTCTATTAACTGTATCGTCAAGGGACAACAACAATATCACACCCAAAGCTCAGCACCACAGACAAATACGACTATTTCTACCTTGCTCCTAAATATTTATATGTGTATCTTAATTCACAAATCAAATATTCTGATTTGATGATTTGACATTCTTAGAAAGAAAAAAAACTTGATAAACATCACTTTTAAGTGTTGCCTCAGGCCCATAGAGTGTCAAAGAATACCACACTTAATGCCAAAATTCTTAATCAATAAATCTATGAGATCTGATTAATACCTTGTAGATATATGTCAAAATTCTTGAGCAATAAATAGAAACTCAGTAAATTGCTACAGTAAAATGTCTATACAGTGTCAAACAAGACCACATTTAACGTCACATGTAACCGCATAATGACAATCATGTCATTATATAAAGTCATACATGCAAATGCATAATGTTAAACCAAGAGATAATGCCAAATATGACAATATATAGTTCCACACTTGGCAATGTATAATGACAGATATGCCAATGTAAAATTTTACAAATAACACATATGTTAATGCATAATCTCAAAAAAGTTAAACATCAGGAAACTCTATTTGCCAACACAATAATCATTTAGTTTCAATATATGATTTACAAAATAGTTTTCTAAAAAGTAAATTTAGATTTAAAATCAAATGTCACAACCTATGTGAAATTGAATATAAAATTGATTAAAAGTTTCAAACTCACGCAAGGCTAAAAGAATTAGTACCAATTCTACAAAATAATTCCCGAAAAAGTACATTTTTAGATTTAAAATTGAATTTAACTACTTATGTCAAATTAAATATCAAATTGAATTCAAGCTTACCCTCCGAGCGATGAAAAATAGAAATGGTGGAGAGGGGTGGAAGGAGATTGTGTGTATGAGAGAAAAGGAGGTGATGAAGAGTGCGGTGTCTTCGGGAGGATCGAAGCAGATGTTTCTTTCAGATTTCCAAGAGGCTACCAACTATCCCTTTAAAATCTTTGTTTGTCTTCGGGACATGAGGATCGAAGGAGATGTTTCTTCCAGATGACTATCGTACAAAATCTGAAATTCTTTATATAAATAGTCTAAAAGGGTAATAACATTGTCTCTTTTTTCCATCCATTCTATTAAATCCGTATAATATATAATAACCATTTTCATCTAAAAACAACTATAGTAATACATTGTGAGAATTTTAAAATTCTTAAGCTTAAAGCGTAAATCATAAATAATACCAATTTTATAAATATTAAAAATATACAAGCAATAAGCACATCATTTATCTCTCATAAGTTACACATAAGGGGCCAAAGCTAGACCAAACATACTTTCATGAAAACATGTAGCAATTGTAATACGCTCAGATAAAAATATGTTCGTCGCGGGCTTACAAACATGCAAGAAAGTTAGAGTTGCATTATTAAAAACTTTTAACACGAGTTTAATTTTTCAACAAGAAGAAATTCATTCAGATCAATTATATGATTAAGTTCATACCTAAGAAATGAAGCATGTTCTTATTTATATTTCAATATATGTGCAATCAACTTATATGTACTATATCTTCTAAACATAAATGTCCTTAACAAATCTTATGAGATTTTTATTTCTAGATTTAAAGAAAGCCTTCCATGCATGAAAATTATGCCGACTACACCAAATTAATTTTAAACTAGACGTAATGTTGCTCAAACCCTCCCTCCATAGCTTGTAGTCCCTGTTGAACATACAAATTTAAAACATGACATACGCACCTTTGGTGAAGAAATCTACTCATAGCGCTGCTAGGAGGAAAAAGTTCTTTAAGTCTAGAAATGATAGCAGTACAGTGTTATTTCCAGCATTATCAAAGCCAAATGCAAACACTTTATCAAGTAAAGTGTATTCTTTAGGAATATCCTCAAGTAAAAGAACAATATTATCACCTTTGTGAGATTCATTGAAATCATGGAACGCAAGAAAACGTTTATGTATCACCCAATCACACTATCTATCAATGACAAGTAACACCAAAAGAAGACAAGTTATGATAAGTTTCACTCCAAATATCAGAACTACTAGTAAAACGAGCTAGATTTAAAAGTAAGAAAAATTTAGCCAAAATATTTTTTTAACTTTATATTGTCTTATTATTTCTCTCTTAATTGTTTTTCTTAAAAATCCTCTTGCTTGAGGATTTAATGCATTTTGACAATAATCAATAAAACTACATTTTTTCAGAGAACATGAAAGGTAAACTCTCCTTGCAAATAATCTCGGCCATTATATTCTTTGCTTATTTTGTTCATCGCTATAAACAAAGAAACCGCCCGTAGCCTTGTTCACAAAACGAGAAATCTTGGTTTGTACTTGTCCCTTCTTCGACATCTTTTTGGCAAACTTCACGGGGTGCCTCGCTTTGTGGTGTTTGGTCGATGGACCATAAGCCCCGAAAATCCCCATATTTATGAGTGCTCCCCAATGTTTGCAAATTCTCGTAACAATTCTATTTAATGTTCTTTTATCAAAATGATATACAAATAAATCAAACTTAAGTTAGGAATCATGCATATCATAGCCTTGTTGAGACCTTATGCGCTACCAGCTCTCGTAAACTAATTGGGGTTAGGAATCATGCATATCATAGTCTTATAGTGCATTCAGCACACACTAATGCCCATAACATTTGAATGTCTCAACTCACATATCATATCTTATGAGACAATTGCTGCACACATGGCCAAAAAAATCATTTCATGATACTAGTGTAATAAGATTTATAAAATGAGTATGGATCCAAAAACTATAGAAGAATTTGCATACAACCTAAACCATGTACTCACCCCATCAACTTCGATACTTTGACCATAGAAAAAAATGCCTATAACTTAAACCATATACTTTTAAAATATTTCAAAATTATATTCTAAAATAATGTATTGATATTAAATTCATATCATAATCAGGGGCAACCTAGGGTGGTGCAAGTGGGGTCACTGCACTTGCACCCACTCCAAAAAAAATTACTCCCTCCGTCCGGAAATAAACTTCCTACTCTACCTTTTTTTTCGTCCGAAAATAATCTTCTCATTCTACTATTTTATACCACTTTTTCCTAAATTACCCCCTCTTTTCTTTTGCTGCTGCCGTCTCTCACTCTCTCCCCTCTTCCACTTTTTCTTCTTTTTTCGTTCCTTTCTTTCTCCTCCTCTCTTCATCCGTCATCTCATCCTCCTCTCCTCTCCTCCACTCAATTTTCTTCTTTTTTCTTCTTCTTTCTCCTCCTCTCTCTTCCTTCGTCATCTCCTTTTCTTCACTTTTCCCCTTCATCTTTTCCCTTCTTTATCTCCTCTTATTTCTCTTATCTCTCTTCCAGATCTGAGCTTGGCAGCGATGGTGGCGGCAGCAATGGTGGCGACGACGATGGTAGGGGGCGGCGATGGTGAGGATGCGTCCGTGGTAAGCCTAGATCTGCAATCTTCTTCTAATCTCTTTCTAATTTCTTTTCATAATTCTTTATTTCTTTGAGATCTAATGGTAGGGCTATGTTGGTGATGGTGAGAGTGGAGCGATTATGGTAGAGGGGGATGGTGGAGATGGTCGGAGAATGGATCGGTGGTGGAGCTGACGGCAATGGCTGGGCTGGCGGCGAGGAGGGGAGGGGCTACAGTGGAGGCTGTGGTGGGTTCTCAATGGTGGCAGGGCTGGGAAAGGAAGGGGAGGGTAATTTAGGCATTTCAAGCCTTATTCAAGCCTCCACTAAAAATGAGAAAAAATCAAAGTAGGAAGCTTATTCCCGGACAGAGGGAGGGAGTATTTATTAGTCGTAGTATATGTAATTAGGTATTATATGTAGACTAAGGGCATCCAAGAGAGTATATTTATATGTAATTAGGTGTTATTTTTTGAAAATGGAATAGATGACACATTCTATAGTTGTGTAGAATTTTATGTTTTAATTCTTTTAGATTTGGAAAGCTGATTTAACTCTCATTATGAAACTTAATTATAAAATGTTCACATTCTTTTTGAAATGTATAAAGTTAAATTTTTTTAAAAAGATTCCTAAAATATACTTAGAATTTGAAGAAATGTCTAGAATTAGTACTTAAGTATTTAGTTTTTTTTTTGGTTAAAACAATGAACGTATTATATTTTTTATACAATATTTCAAAAATATTACATACGTAGTACAACTCACAATATTAATCTCAGAATGCAATTTATTGATACTCTTTTACCTTTAAGGTTTTAGATTTATTGCTATACATATATCAACATTTTTCTTTTGTGCACAGAATGTGTACCCACTCACTAAAATTTCTGGATTCGCCACTGATCATAATGTAATATATATTTTTCAGTAATTTACATTCAAAGTTTCAAAATATTTACCAAAAAAAAAGTAAAACAAGAAGAAGCAAAGAGGACGTACGAAGAGAATATCTATTTTAAGCATGTATAATTAAAGCCAAGTAATGGGAACATGGAAGAGACGGATTATGTTAACTATCTTCTAGCAAAAGGAGAAATAAATCTCAACTATAATAAATGTCCAAGCCTAGGTTCAATCCCTCTTCAATACAAGACCGAGCTTAAAAATGAATCAAAGCACTTAAATTTGCCTTCGAAAACTGTTCTCAAAGTCGGCCCCTGCATCAAGCAAGAAACAATAAAGTAACAACAAGAATGTCATCAAGAAACCATCACTACTACTCTAACTCCAACAAGGGCCACAAGCTCATCATCGTGATCTTCCTCCTCCTCATCATTGCCCTTTACATCATTAGACAAAGACTCGCTTCTTCCAATCTCCAATGCCAATGGCAGAGTCCCCAGCCCCTCGAGAAAATCCCGCCTTCACTAGCCGATGCACTCGTCCACTACGCCACCAAAAACAGGACCCCCCAACAAACCTTTCAGGAAATCTCACTCGCCAAAACCGTCCTCCAGGACAGGTCCCCTTGCAACTTCCTTGTCTTTGGGCTTGGATTTGACAGCTTGCTGTGGAAGTCCCTAAATCACAACGGCCGAACCGTGTTCCTGGAGGAGAACAAAGACTGGATCGAGCGCGTGAACGCGATGAGGCTTTCCCTAGAGATCTACCATGTCAAGTATGACACCCGAGTCGAGGAAGCAGTAGAGTTGTTGCGTGTAGGTAGGTAATGATAGAATTCTAGGATAAGGGTCACTAGACTGAACCACATTATTATCTTTTCTGATGTGGGATACTTTGTAACAGGTAAGACAGACGAAGAGTGCAAGAAGGTGAGGGATCCGAGGCATTCGAAATGCCGATTGGCACTCAAGAACTTGCCCGAGGAGGATGTTTACGAGGCGAATTGGGATGTGATCATGGTGGACGCGCCGAGGAGCTGGACAAAGGATTTGCCTGGGAGAATGGGTGTGATCTACACGGTTGGGCTGATGGCGAAGAACAGAGAAGCTGGTGCCAAAACTGACATCTTTGTGCACGATGCTGAGAGGTGGGTGGACAACAAGTTCTCGAGAGCGTTTCTTTGTGAGGCGTATATTAAGGAACAGGTTGGGGTACTGAGGCACTTCGTTGTCCCTAGTCACAAGACTGCTGGTTCCAATGTATTGCCCTTTTGCCCATAGTATCCCCTGCACCTAATTACCTCTTCACATCTTCCCAAGGCATCCATCACAAAAGAGCTTCCCCATACCCTGCAAATTAAAAGAAGCACATTACCATTATTATGGGTGTCCTTTAATTTGTTTGTTCTCTTTACACTTAAGTCTTTGTGTTTCAATTTATTTTTTTTTTGAGAAAATTACTATTTATAGAATTAAAAGTTAGTCTTTTTTTTGTTGTTTGAACGTCTTTTACTCTGAGGGCATAGATTCAATTCCCAAAAAAAAATTACTCCCTCCGATATGTCTAAGTTGAAACTTCTTGTTTTTAAAAAGCAAAGTGATCCCATACATTAAACAATGTTTATTATCTTTGTCCAGAAATGAAATTCTATCTAATATTTCAGCAGTTAAACTTTATCCACTTTTTTTATACTTATTTTCACTACTCATTTGAAAATTCTCCCTCCCCTCATCTGATTTGAATCTTCTCCGTTTGACTTTCAAGGTTAATCTTTTTAAACTTTGACTACAAAATACGGAAAAAATACATTGAATTGTGATATAAATTTAATGTCAATAAGCTCATTTTAAAATATTATATTTTATAGTATATATCTTTATATGAATAAATATATTGACGGTCAAAGTCTTGCATTGAAAACTGTGAAAAGTCAATTGAAAAAAGTTAAAAAAATGAGTGAGTATAAAATAATAATGCCGATCACCTTTTGATTAAAAAAAATTAATATAGCTTTTAAATATGTAAATTTTGCTTTCAAATTTTTCAATGTTTATCTAATAATTTGAATTAAAAATAGTTTTGGTCAACCCTCATAATAATCCGCAATCGATATTTCAAAGAAATATACCAAAACAAACTCTAATTAATTCTCTAGACTCTCCTCCTTTCCGTGTTCAATACTTCCAAGGTTGTCTCTAACGCTTCACCATTAGCTACTTTTAGTGTCATATCAACGATAACTATATTTACCTTCTCACTGATTTCAGACACCTTATTTCTACTGCAATGATTACACTTTTGTTTTAATTTAATAATTATTTCTTTATATTCAAATTAAGTTCTATCCTTTATATAAGAATAAAAAATACTCCCTCCGTTCCACAAAACCCTTCCTCTTTTTTTTTTTGCTTTCCACAAAACACTTCCACTTTCTATTAAAAACCACTTTTACCCCTACTTTTTCATACCCTAACTATCACATCATACTTTTTCACTAATAACTAAAGTATCCCATCTTACTTTTTCTCATCACATTAGGGGCAAAATTGGAAAGTCAACCAAAATTTCACTTTCCTTATTTTTCCCCAAAGTCAAAATCGGAAGGGTTTTGTGGAACGGAGAGAGTATTATTTTTTATGTTTTTGGGTTTATTATTATTTCTTTCAGTTTTATTATTATTATTTTTTCTATTTTTTTATACTCCTTCCGTTTCTTAAAACCCTTCCTCTTTCATTTTTTTTGTTTTTCTTAAAACACTTCTCCTTTCTGTTAAAAAACCACTTTTACCCCTACTTTTTCATACCCTACATATCACATCATACTTTTTCACTAACAACTAAAAAATCACATCTTACTTTTACCCATCACATCAAGGGCAAAATTGGAAAGTCAACTACAATTTAACACTTCCTTATTTTCTCCCAAAGTCAAAAGAGGAACTCTTTTGAGAAACGGAGGTAGTATTATAAAAACTAAATTAAAAAAAAGCATACACATCAAAAAATAAGTTCATTAAATTTTATTATTTTACACCATCAAAGAAACAAGGAAAAAAATAAGGAAGAAAAATTATTATACAACTAAAAATAGGATTACAACTTCTTCGCGTTCCCCTAGATGGCCGATTAGCGAATTCACAATTTTTTTACTGAAATTTGAACTAAATAGTACTAAAACACATGTCATTTTCTAATTTAGTACTTAAACAATGACTTGAAAATGAACGGTGATACTACGTAGGGAAATAAAAACATATGGTAGTACAAAGTTACTTTGTTTTAGTACTAGGAAAAAAGACCATACTAGGACTAAAACATTAAAAACATACCAAAATAGGACTTACATATATTTATTCCCGAAATAGGACTTAAAATGCATTTACATTATCAAACATGGTCATATACATTACCAAAAAGTATATGTAATGTGCACGCGTACAGTGCCACAATACCAAAGTGCGAAGTCCTATTTCGAGAAAAACATATTTTGATATTTTTGTCTATATTTTATAAAGAGTATTCTTTGCGCAGCATGATCGATGTGCTACACATTACTCTGACCTTTGAAAAGAATATAACAATAGATATAAAAAAGAAAAATTTTCACTAAAACAGATTAGTCATTTTCTATAAAAAAAATAATAGAAATGAGAAAAACAATTAAAACCATACAAAATTAATGAAATAAAAATATATCAATAAAAACTAACGTCAACCTATTTTAAATCAAAGCAAAATAAACAAAGTGGTAGGTTCTAATATTTTAGGCACTAGAAGTATTAAAGTATTATTTCCTCCTACAGGTAAAAGATGAAAATAAAAACAGAGATAAATATTTTTTTATTGAAACCCTAATGAAATAAAAAAAATATCTTATTAAGAAATAACTAAAATCAAATTATGCTGAAACAAGAAAATATTTTTTTATTTTTTCTTTCCATTTTTTAGGGTTTTAATAAGATCAAAAATAATTTTCTTTATTTATCATTTTTTGTTTTTTTATTTTTTCTTTCCATTTTTTAGGGTTTTAATTATAAGATCAAAAATAATTTTCTTTATTTATCATTTTTTGTTTTTATTTAGATTTGTTACAAGGAGGAGGAAGTGATATATACATTAATAGTCCATTTATATAGTGACAAAAACATAACGGAAGAAAGACCAAAGCAGGACTAAAACATTAAAAATATATCAAATTAGGACTTCCATGTTTTTATTCACGAAATAAGATTTAAAATGCATTTACATTACCAAACATGGTCATGTACATTACCAAAGAATATACGTAGTAGTAGTTATTGTACACATGAACAATGTGACATTAGCATAACACGAAGTCCTATTTTGAAAAAAAAACATGAAAGTCTTATTTTAGTATATTTTTACCTATGTTTTGATCCTATTTAGAAAGATTTTTTAAAACATTAGAAACCATCACTCCTTATTTAGTTGTGTTTCTTATCAGTTTGAGACTCTAATGGGTGGTAAACCTGCCTCTTACTTTTTATTAATTATCTTTTTATTTATTTAATTTTGTATGATTTTAATTTTACTCATTTTCACTATTTTTTTATCTATTTTTTGATTTTTTTGTTGAGAGAAGACTAATCTTTAAAAGAAATTGATGAAGGTAGAAAGTCATTTTAATAATTTAAGGAAAATTTTCAAAAATACATTAAAAACACAAATTAAAAAAAATCACAAATTTTATTTTGTTGCGCAAAACAAATAATTCTCGTTAACCAACCGTTAGTAACTTTAAGGGCAACTCAAAACTCACAAATTTTAATAAAATTAAAAATATTATCCATCATCCTGAAAGTTGAAATGACTTTTGAAAATGGAATAAAATTAGAATTATTTTCGATAATTTCATTTATTGAACCTATTGTAGGAACTTCAAAGTATATAATTTAAGAAATAATGATTTCTCTTTTCTCCACTACACGTGGAAAACATAACGATAAAATATCATGGTGACAAAGATTCTATCTCATCGGACGTAGTAAGGTTGACATCATGGTGAGGAGGGCAAGATGGGAAAGCAAGAGATGCATCGCCGTCGTCTTCATCGGCTGATCCGCCGTGGCCGCCCTCTTCGGCGTCGCAATAGCCGCGCAGAATGTCACTCTCCTCCGCCGTAAAGCCGACGGAGGCGAACATGGAAGGCCAGCACTTGTGCTCCACGGTCCTTATGGCGCGGCAGCAGTTGGGGCCAAGATACGTCTCCCCGTTCATGAAGAAGAGTATGACCTCTCCCGTGCACGATTGCAGCTGGAACATAGTCTCCAAGCACTCCGAGTAGTCGCTTCCCCCGCCGCCACCGGCCCCTGCCTGTTGCCCGGCGGATTCGGCCATCATTGGCCGAGCCGCGGTGGCGGTAGGGAAAGCCACACAAAGTAGCATGAGAGCTTTGAGGATAGTAATGTGGTCTGAAGAGCAAGCCATGGGGTAGTATAGATTGTACGAGTATTGGGGTTTTGGGTGGTTTGTTAAGTTGATTTGCAAGGAGGTGCTGGATTGAGGTTCTTTATATAGTACTCCGATCCCAGTACTAGCTAATTGGCAAGGAAGCTAGCGAGACATGCATGGCGATCGAAATTATTGGCTGGGAAAGCAAAGAGTTTTGTAACTTATTTGGCTCATAATAACATGTGAATTGCGCATTCATTTTCATGCATTGAATGAATATATATAGAGGGTCTTTGGGAGTGATTAGCTTATGAATAAAGTGATTTCTACAAAAGCTGAAAGTGAAAGCACCTCATACCTGCTTCTCCGAAATGGTGTTCCATGTACAAAATAATGATGGTGAAAAGCAAAAGCTGACATGCCAAACAAAGTAAAATCACTTTCACCCAAAGCAGAAGCTAAATTGTTAAAAGCAGCGCACTGCCAAACACCCTCATACTCTCTTGCCTGGAGTCCTGCAATTCGAGCTTCATCAAAATCAAAAACTCCCTCTCTTGGTCTTAAAAATGAAATATTTGTACTAAACAACACTAAAACATATACTCCGTATCATTTTCTAACGTAGTACTTAAATTTTTTATTCCTAAAATAGCAATTAATAATTTCTAGAAGGAAGAATAATATCCATTGATAGTAAACATTTACTTGAATAATGACTAATGGATAATGACTAAAAGACTACATTAGAAAATAAAAGACATATGATGCTATTAAAGGAATCTCATTATGTTTTAGTTCTATTTAGATAAAAAAAAATTCTTAAAAATTTCTCTTATTTGAAACAACGTGAAAAATTTTAAACTTTCTTTGTCTCAAATTTAATTACAAATTGGGATTTACAAGGCAACATCTCCCATGTTTTGAAATTATTTTATTTACAAATTTTTATATCAAAAAAAGAAAAAATACGTTTTATTAAGAATATTAGATAATGAAAAGTAAATATTATATTTAATTACTTTCCTTTTTACTTCCTCCGCTACTAAAAACATGGGAGTTATTGATTTTTAAGACATTTAAGAAAAATATATTTTGGTATTGAATTTTCAAAAAAGTCCTTTGATATGATGGGTAAAAGTAGGATTTGATGGGTAGGTTATTAATAAAAACGTATGATGGGATAGGTAGGGTATGAAAAAATAAAGAGTAAAAAGTGAATTTTTAATATAAATAAGAAGTGTTTTTTGGAACGAAAAAAAGAAGAAAGGAGAAACGTTTTCAGAGACGGAGGGAGTATATTATTTTCTTTATTGTATTGTTAACATATTTGTTCTTCTACTATGATTAGAATTCTCTCATATAATCTCTACAAATATGGATGTATCCTTCAATATAAGTTCTTGAGTTGAATTAACTAATCGATTTGATTCAATCTTTTAATGTTGTTCAACTCAATTGCCATATAGCCCAGTCCAGTGATCCATACACGGCCTCATCCTAAATTGTATCATGGTATCAGAGCCAGTTTTGGCCCACCTCATTTGTCAAGGTGTCCGTCCACACAATCATTCCTAGCGACCCATTAGTCTTTAGCCTAGTTGTCTGTATGGAGTATGTACCCAACGGCCTTTTAACATAATTACTCGTATATATGGAAGTCCATATCCAGTGACTCGTGATCCTTTAGGTGCTATCGCTCAAAAAAATCAAAGGGATGGAAGTACATTTGCAAGTGGTCAACCGGTTATATTTAAATGGTCCGGTTGCTCACTTGAGGGGAGTGTTAGAGTGCATCCCACATCGAAAGTTCAAGAGTAAAATAATTGGTATATAAGCTCTGGAGTTGAACTAAGTAATTGATTGGATTCAATCTTTTAATGTGGTTCAACCCAATTGTCTTATTTCCCAACTCAGTAATCCCTACCCTATTCTAAATTCTATCATTGTTAGGGTTCCCACATTAAAAAATAAAGAATAATAGCGCTAGCATATATAGAATAGTGAAACCCTACCTATCAGCTTAAGCTTTTGGGTAAGAATAGTAGATCCCGACTTAATATTTAAATGGTTAATTTTACCAAACACTCTACCCGTTGTTCTTGGCTCATCGAAATTTTAACAGGGTATCGGAGTAGGTTCAGTTCAGGTTCGATTTTTCCTTATTGTTGGACGTGGGTTACATTTAGCAGAAAAAGCTACCTGTCCGTGGTTTGGTTGAGCTGGCTAAAAAAGATTGAGATGTCACCGCCTGTTGTGTGGTCTAGTTATAAAACATTGAGATGCTAGACTTGTTTGTCCAAGTGCTAACTAGGCCAGGCTAGTTACCACTCGAGGGGAGTGTTAGAGTTCCCACATCGAAAAATAAAGAATAATACCACTAGCATATATAGAATAGTGAAACCCTACCTATCAGCTAAATTAAGCTTTCAGAATCTAATAATATGTCATTGGAAATCTTTTTCAAAGATCTACAAAATGAGACTAATATTGAATATATAATTTTGATTTTATGTCTTACTTATTTTTTTCGCTTAAACACTTCGGGATTGAATGAACTGTGTTTTATTACTATATTTCTTGATTTTTTATCCTCTTTTAAACTTAACTAGTTTTTTTTTTAATTCTATTATAATTAAAAGAAAGAAGGTACATTTGGACAAAACATATAAGTGTGACAAAATAATGAAGTAATTTTTATTGTGATTTATTTTTTTCTTTTTTATTGACCATGGTAAATAAAATTTTATAAGAGTTAAAAAAATAAAATAGGACCAAAAAAGTTTGAACAAATACTATATTAGTCAAACAAAATGCCAATAAAAACAAACGACATAGAAAATTTGGACAAAATATTAAACTTTATTTTCAATTAAAATATATAATTTAATTTAAATAGAAATTGGCAAATATTAACTAAAAAAATTAAAATGTACTGATTGCAATGAATATAAGGCACAATAGGGGTGAATTGGTTGAGATGGTGAGTGCAGTCACTGTGATGGTGTAAATTACTTGACCGGTCAAACTATACTAGACCGGGTCTAGAATAGTTTGCTTGATTTGGTAAAGTAAGAAAGGTAAAAACACGCAGAGTGACCGGTAGGACTTTAGGTGGAACACCTGTAGCCCAATTTATATTATAGAGAATGCACGGGTGCTTTTACAAGGGAGTTTAGAGAGAATGAATTCGGATCCCTCTTTCTGAGGTTTACAGCAGTATATATACTAGGCTTGGGGGGACAGGACCACGTGCGCCCACGTAGGGGTACGCTGCTGATGTGGTGCGAGGTGACTTGCCCTGTCTCCTTGTGAGAGGGATTACCCCCTTTGTCGCGTACTAGTTTGGACAGATTCCCTTAGCATCTTCACGCGATCTTTGAGCCATGCTAATCACTATAGTCCAAGCCTTTTTGGATTCTTCCTGCCGACACCTCCCAATCCCAGGAAACGGTACCGGGTAGTCTTCGTGGGTTGATTAATTGACTTTGGAGATTGGTTCCAGACGATGGAGTAATTTGACCGGTATACTACCCGAAGTACACCGGTCAACTTTGCAGTCAACCAGTCATCCCTTTGCTGATGATTCAGATCCCTCTTTCAAGCTTGACCTCTTTGACCGGTCAACTATCAGGTTCTGACCTTTGACCGGTTATGGGTGAAATACACCCATCAATAAGCCCTCCACTTCTCGGTTATGCAATTTGTCATAAGCGGGAAGTAAAAATCTGAGAAATTTGTTCAAAATTCGAATTTTTGTCTTTCCCGCTCGAAATTTTCAAATTCAAAATTTGAAGTGTCAGTTGCGACATGTGTTGAAGATTGGGCGCGGTCATTCATGCGTCCTTTTGCCTTCCCAAGTGCAATGATGGCGCTGCCTGACGCGTCGCGCCCTGGTGAAGCCACGTCGCCTCCTTCCCCTCTCTCCTCGACTATATAAAGACCCCCAGCCCCATTCATTCCTTCACTTCCTCCTCGCGCGTCTCCCGAGTTTCACCGGTCAAGCTCCTCTCTCTAGCTTCCTAGCCCTCCGAGTCATGTAAGCTCCTCACTTTCTCTTATTAGCTTTCTTTATTCTCCATTTTTCCTTCCGGTAAATGTCTTCCCCTGATAGTCAAGATATTTCCGCCTCGGATGCCTACGCATCCGAGGAATCCCTTTCTTCTTCTTTATCCACTGGGTCATCTTCACTCGATCATGAACCCCGGTCGGTTCCCAATCCCAACATCCCTAAACCACAGCCGGTCAACCAGATGCCTGGTCAGATTTTTCAGGAGAGGGATGCACCGGTCGAAGACGAACCGGCTCCCTATGACCTTGAAAATGAGTCGTACGAGGAATGGGAGGACCGGCTGGAAGCGGACGGTTATTTTCCTCTTCCTACCAGCTACCCCTTAGACATTTTTCCCCGGGTCTCTAAGATTGCTCAAAATAAAGCCCGTAGGAATCTCCTAGAGAGGTATGTTCTTGAGTGTGACCCCAACTAGCCCAACATTGTTGAGCCCCACCAGGATGATAGGGTAGGATTTCACATCATTTCTCTGGAGAGTGGCACTGTCTTCCCCCTCCGTCCCCTCTTGATTGAATTGTGCCACTGTTTCAAGATCCTTCCCGGGCAAATTACGCCCAATGCCCACCGTTTTTTGAATGCATTTGTAAATATCTGTATCCATCTTAAAATCGACCCCTCTCTTCGCTTTTTTCTATACTTGTTTGAAGTCCTTCCCGGTAAGTCGGGTTGTGACGGCTATGTCTATTTCAAAGGCCGTAACGGTCGCCAATTCATCTCCGACCTTCCACAAAGCAACCGGCAGTGGAAGGAGAAATTTGTTTTCATAAAATTTCCTACCGCCTCTCCCTTGGCCGGCATAAAGTAAAATGACCACATCCTGAAATCTCAATACACCGAACCGGCCACGGCCCCAGACTTTGGAAGAGAGTTTGGAAAAGCTTTTACAGGGAGACCCGTTCACCGGGCAGATGTTCCATTATGGAGCTTGGATCTAGAGGGTCCAACCGGGTGACAAGGGTACCCCTCAGCCCCAGGAGGCAGCGGGGCACGAGGTACCCTCCCCGGGCAACACTGCTGAGGTCGAGGTCCCAAGCCACCCAGGTAACTCTCCTTCTTTCTTTCTTTAATGTTACCGGTCATTCTTGAATCACTTATAACATTTCACTGGTTCTGCAGATATGAACTTCAAGTCTTTCAGAATTCCCAAGCCGACTGGTGGATCTTCTTCTGCTGGTCCACACACCTCTACCACCAAGACTGTACCGGTCCAACAGGAAACTGTTGAGATCCACGACGAGGAGGAAACTCCTCAGACCGGGGAGACGACCTAGACAGGGAAGGTTCTGGTGAACCCTATCCCTAACAAGGGGAAAGGAAAAAAGAGAGTGAAGCATGCAGCCACCACCCATCCATCAGTCAAGAAGAGAAGGGGAGAAAACTCCTCGGCTGGAGAATCAATGGGAGAGCTCTGTGTCAAGATGACCCTTAAGCTGAAGGAGGTAACGTCCGCCCGGTACATTCTCTTTAACGCGCTGCTTGCCTGCTTAACTAACCGGTCTATTTTTCACTTCGCAGATGGGCGAGGTCGGGCCGGATGCCTTGGAGCAGCTCACTGGGGACTCGACCTCCCGGTTGACCCAGCTGGAGGAGCGGTTGAAGAGGGCTGAAGCTCACAACCGGGAGCTTCAAGACCTGACGGCCCGGCAGCTGTATGAGCTGGCCAATCTTTCGGCGGCTGCCGGGAAGGCGAAGGCAGAAATCCTCCAGCTGAAGGAGGAGAACTTGAAGTTGATGGATGACTTGGAGTCGAAGGAGCGAGAGTTCCCCGGTAGAGCCAAGCAATGGATGGAGGACAATCTGGTAGAAGCTGCCCGGGTTCTTACCTCTTCTGAGGAGAGGACAATGGAGGGCTTCAAGCTGCTGTACCGGGAGGAGAAGGGAAAGAGATGATTACCCAGATTGGCTCTTACGGCTTCATGTCTGGGCAGAAAAGAGACCGGGAGGCCATGCACTCAATCCTAGCTGACCGGGACCCGGCCTTCTCTGCTCAAGCTTATGGCCTGGCCCCCATTCCCGAGGAAGAACCTGAGCCTCCCTTCCCCCTCGAGTAGATCTCTCCGGCTGCGCTCGGTTGTTTTTATTTTTGTAAAACTTTAACAACTCGCTATTTTCCCGGGGATGCCCGGTGTATTTGTAAACATTAAACATTCCCATTTTGTTTGAATGCCATGTTTTATTTTCTCACCGGTTAATCTTCCATATCTGCTTGCTCCTTGATTGATATTTTGCTTTTGCTTCTTAGAATGCCATCATAGGATATCTGACCGGTACAGAAATCAATCCCTTCTCATTCATCTAATTTCTTTCGACCGATAGAACTTCAACGTTCTCTTTGATCACTTTATCTCGCAGATCAACTCGAATAATCTTAACCGGTCAAACTCCACTTTTCGCTTTTGGATACCTTCCTTTTTTGATCGGTCATTTCCCTTATGGCTTGACCGGCTTAATCTGCTGGCTTCTATTTTGAAGATCTTTATCTTGATGATCAACTTGAATAAGGTTGACCGGTTGAACTTCAGTTAAATCTAAAGGTTCGCTCCTCACGATTTGACCGGTTAGATCTTTCGCCTTGAAGAACTTCCGAAGTTCTGTTGTATCAATACCCAACCGGGGTATTCCCTTTTTTTTGATCGGTAGGTTGTAGATGGAAGCACCTGTAACCTAGTACTTTCTTGAAGTATTCTTAACCGGTAAGAATACTGGAGATTTAACCATGTCGAATGGTTTCGAACTCTCTCCAAGGTCCAAATGCACCCTTCTTCCAGGGCCCCCTCTTTCAGGTGATTAAGTCTTTTAATGGCCCTTAAATTTCTACTATCCCGGGAAGGCCTTAGCTCACCCCCCGTTCAAGTCTTCCCTGAGAAGGGGGAAACAGGATGCGCCACGGTGGACGATCCCCTTCTATTTCTTTTAATGGGCATCTTTTAGTCCCCAATCAATTTGATGGTACCGGATGATTCCCCGATACCGGTCAAACCTCATGGGCCCGTGTAAGTACGGTTCGAACCTTCTTCCAGGTCCAGCTCTCTTGCAGGCATACCCCTCTCCCGGGGCCCCTCTTCCGGGTTTTATTATTTTTTCTATTATACTGAGCAAGACCGGTGTATAACCAGCGTGCCAGGTCCGGGCGTGTGTCTCAGTTGGCTTATCCAAGTGGATTCGATCCACCCGGGAAGCCCTCCTAGGATAGGTTCGACCTATCATTTCTACTGCTACCTGGTAGAGTATTGAACTTCCTCAGTTTGATTGATAATAGAAGTAGGCCTTGCCTAGTATTACAATCACTTGTAGAATTTGCGAAGATGATGGGAATTCCAAGTTCTTTCTACCGAGTGTCCCTCTAGAGTTTCTAACCGGTAGGTTCCCGGGCGAATAATAGCTCTCACCCGGTAAGGTCCTTCCCAGTTCTTGGCCAGCTTTCCTCCATCACCCATTTTACTAGCCTCTCTTCTTCGTAGGACTTCATCTCCAACTTGGAAGTATCACGGTCCAACCTTGTTTTCATGGTACTTCTTCACAACTTGTTGGTATGTACTCATTTTCACCTCTGCCGTCATCCTTCGTTTCTCGACCAAGTTGAGCTCGGCTAGATGGTATTCTTCATTTTGTTGGGGTTGATAATTTGATTCCCGAAACGTTGGGAATTCGGATTCGATGGGCAGCCTTGCTTCACACCCATACGTTAGGGAGAATGGAGTTTCCCCATGAGCCCTCCTGGGTGTTACTCGGAATGCCCATATGATGTGCGGGAGCTCTTCTAGCCACTTGTTTCCTGCTTCTCCGAGCCTTTTCTTTAGACCATCCACAATTGTTCGGTTGGCGTTTTCGACATGGCCATTTCCTTGGGGGTACGCCACCGAAGAGCGATTGTGCTTGATTTCGAAGCCCTCCAAGTATTCGGCGAACCTTGGATTTCGGAATTGTGGGTCGTTGTCAGTGATTAGGTTCATGGGAGCTCCGAACCTCGTGATGATATTCTTCCCAATGAATTTCTTGCATTGTTGCGTGGTAATGTTGGCCAACGCTTCGACTTCGATCCATTTGGTGAAGTAATCGATGGCCACGATTACAAACTTCTTCCTCCCTTGAGAAATTGGGAACACTCCAATGATATCAACCCTGAATCTAGCGAATGGGATGACATTAGATACTGGGTGATAGTAGGTCGCCGGTCTTCCGGGGTACTTGTAGAACACTTGGCATGTTCTGCATTTCTAAACATACCTTTCACAATCCTGGACAATTGTTGGCCAGTAATACCCCAATAGGATGATGCGTTGGGAAAGCGTACGAGACATTTGATGCGCCGCGCATACGCCTTCGTGGACCTCCGCTATGACTCGCTCAGCCTCCCGGTTGGTTAGACATCTCAGGAGTGGCCCCCAAATGCCCTTTTATATAGTTTTCCATCAAGAACCTCGAATCGGGGTGCCCTGAGCTTCACTTTTCTTGCCCGGTCATCTTGTTCAGGAAAGCTCCCATCCATTAAGTATTCCATTAGATCATACATCCAATGGTCGTCCGCCCCGACCAGGTTTGACCGGTCAGATTGGCTTCCGGCTGTTATAGCGGCGACTTCCAATTTTTCGATGCTGGCTCAATCCAGGATTTCCACCCGGGCAAGTTTTGAAACATGCTCGGGAGCATACTACGTCAACTTGGAGAGAAGGTCTACATCCGCGTTCTCCGCTCGGGGAATTTGGGCGATCTTGAATTCCTCGAAGCCTTTCAACAAAGCAAGCACCAGGTCCTTGTATTGTGCCATTCGTCCTTCCTTTGCTTCCATATTGCCAGTCACTTGCCCAACAATCAAACTAGAGTCAGATTTGATACTGACCCGGTTGATCTTCAGGGCTTGGGCAAGTCTGAGCCCTCCGGCCAGAGCTTCATATTCCGCCTCGTTGTTTGTCACCTTGAAGTTAAAGACGAGTGCATGGTAGATCTTGAACCCTTCTAGGGTGGTAAATACGATACCACCCCCGTATCCTTTAGGACCGGATGCCCCATCAACTGCCATCTCCTACCATTGCTTAGTGGGCTTGTTGACCGGTAGATCTGGAGTTAGACCGGTCATTTCTATCAGGAAGTCTGCAAGGGCTTGTCCCTTGATTACTGACCTTGGCCGGTACTTAATGTTGAATTGAGTTAACATCATTGCCCACTTCACCATCCTCCCGGAGGATGTTGAATTTCGCAACACTGCACCCAGCGGTTGGTCAGTCAAGACTTCCACCGGGTGAGCTTGGAAGTAAGATGTTAATTTTTTTGCGGAGATGAAAAGCGCATAGGTAGTCTTCTCCATCGTCGTATATCTACTTTCAGCTCGCTAGACGACCGGTCAACTTTTGCACATCCCTAACCGAGGTAGGGGCTTGCATCTCGGTGATAGCCTGGATTTTTTCTGGGTTGGGCTCTATTCCTCTCTTGGTCACCATGAATCCCAGGAACTTCCCGGTGCAAATCGCAAAGACGCATTTCTTAGGATTCAATCGGAGCTTGTATCTCGCCATGATATCAAATGTGGCACGTATATCAGCCGGGTGGTTGGGAGATACCTGGCTTTTGATCAGCATGTCGTTGACGTATGCCTCCATGGTCTTTCCCAACAGTGGCTTGAAGAGTTTGTTCACCATGCGCTAGTAGGTTGCTCCTGAGTTCTTCAAGCCAAACGCCATTACCTGGTAGCAGTAGGTTCCTTCGGGCGTGAGGAATGACGTCTTCTCCTTATCTTCCTTGGTCATGTATATCTGGTGGTAGCCCTTGAAGGCATCCATGAAACTTAGGAGTTCGCACCCCGCGGTTTCGTCCACCATTTGGTCTGGACTGGGGAGGGGGTATGAATCCATCGGACAAGCCTTATTCAAGTCCGTGTAATCCACACACATTCTCCACGTGTCGCCCTTAGGAGCAAGGACAACGTTGGCCAGCCAACACTGAGGTCCTTCACCTCCTTCCTGACGAAGTCTCTCCGGTCACTGGCCAAGTACCGCTTCTTCTGGCGTACCAGTCGACTTCCCTCTCTCACGGCCAACCGGTGGCAGATAACAGAGCGATCTATTCTGGGCATATCCGCCACGCTCCATGCGAATATGCCCGCGTATTCTTTGAGGACCCGTGTAATCTCTGCCTTGAGATCTTCTGGGAGATTTGCTCCAATTCTGACCATCCTCGAAGAATCACCCGGGTGAAGTTCGATTTCCACTGTCTCGGCCTCGGGCTCCAATTTCTCCCGGGTCTCTCCCTTTGTGATCTCTTGGGAGATGACATTGACCCCCTTGGTCATCTTCTTGACTGCCCGGGCATAGCACTCCCAGGCATTCCTCTTGTCGCCTTTCACCTCACCCACACCACCTGGAGTGTGGAACTTCATGCACAGGTGAGGCATGGAAATCACCGCCCCGACCTTATTGATGCCCGGTCTTTCAAGGATTGCGTTGTGGACGCATTTGATGTCCACAACGATGAATCGCATCTTCTTCCATACGGTTTTTCACCCGATCCTAGTTCAATCGGTAGAACTATGGACCGTTTAGCTTCCACTGTATCTCCCGTGAAGCCTGAGAGAGGAGTCTTGAGGGGTTCAAGTTGTGTCCGACACAACCTGAGTTTTTGGAAAGTTTACAGGTACAAGATGTTGACACTGCTGCCGGCGTCAACAAGTACCCGGGAAACATCCACCCCATTAATGTCCATGGTAATAACAAAAGGATCATTATGATCTTCACCGGTAGGGGGGAGGTCCCGGTCAGTAAAGACGATCGGTTCCCTCGTGGTATGCTTACGCCAGGCCGGTTCAGCACTTACTTCACCAACGTAAATGCTGCGGACCTAATTCTTCCGTTGCGCGGCTGAATCTCCACCTTCAGGTCTGCCGAGGATCATCCCAATATGTTCTTTTTCAAGAGCAGGTTGCTGCTCCCTTTGCCGGTTATTCCTCCGTCGGTCAGTATCCCGGTCATTTCCCTGGGTCGCTGGCCTAACCCATTGGTGGCTCTTCTCATGGGCTTTCTCCAAATAATCCTTGCCCAGCTCCCCGCTGTCTATCATTTGCCGGATGACTCCCCTAACACTCTTGCATTCGGAAGTGTTATGGGAATCTGACCTATGGTATGAACAATAGGTGCCCGACCATTGTCGTCCTGTTTGACCGGTAGGGTTTTCCAGAGGAATGACCGGTGCTTTCCGAATTTCTCGGCATTTTTCCGTATTGACCATACGGACAACCGGGTCATAGTGATGCCTTGGCCGGCTTGGGCTTGAAGCCATGCTCAGCTTTTTCTTTGCCCGGAGTTGGGTTTCAGCCTCAGCAAACTCCCATGCAGTGTGGTAGGTCTCTTGGTACGTGGCCGGGGGTTTCCGGCAGAACTCCTTGTATAGTTCCCCGGCACGTAAGCCATTCAAGAGAAGGGATAAGACGGTCTTGTCATCCATCTCTTCCACTTTGTCTACCTCTTCCTTCCACCGGGTAAGGAACTGAGTAAGGTTCTCAGACTCCATCTGCCCGGCTGTACTAAGATAAGTGAATTTCTTCCTTTTAGTACAGTTCTCCTGGAACTTGGCCTTGAATTTTGAGGCCAAGTCACTGAATGAATCAATACTTCCTGGGTGAAGTTTGTTGAACCATTCAGTAGCTCGATTCCGCAGGGTTTGGAAGAAAAGCAGACACTTTTCTTCGTCTGTGCAGCCGTTCATGGTTGCACTTTGGTTGAAGGAGTCCAGATGGATTTCCGGATCTTCCTTCCTAGTGAATCTAGGGGCGTCGATCTTGACCTTTCGCGGGAAAGGTGTTAGATGGACCCTTGTGGTGAACGGGGACCCAGCCAGGAGTTTGTCCCGGTCATTCTTTTCCCCGACCTTCTTTTCCAGCCTTTCCAGTTTTGCCTCCATCTGCTGGACGCGGTCATTTAGGATGGTTAACCGGTTCGCCACCGGTAACCTGGGCTGGCTCTCTGCTTCCTCTTCCTGACGAGAGGCTCTCGTCCTCGCTGGCTCCTGCCAGTTAGATCGGGAGCGCCGGGTGCGGGCAGGCTCGGCCTCCCTCACCTTGCCTAACCGGGCGAATGCGCTGACATGGGCAACACTTTGCCCCAGCCTCAGCTTGGCTGATTTTCTCTGGCCCTCTTCCCCGTCCCCAGCCTTTCGAAGGCGGAGTTTCGGGAAGTGGCTGGCCGAACGGCTTTCCCCTTCTTCTTCTTGTGGGCCCTCGGAATGTCCCACTCCTCGTCTCCGCTCTCAATTGAGACGCAGTGACCATCAGGGGTAATCTGTGGATTCGTACCTTGCGGGGGACGCGACGGCCCTGCAACGTTAAGCGTGCCATGACACGAATATAAAAGTGTTTCACATTTGACATGACACGAATCTTAAGAAAAGTAAAATTATGAGCACTGGTTGAAAATAATGAATATGAGAGAAGTTATATGGATCACAGAACATATTTCAAAAATAGAAAGTGAAACTTTTTTTGGACAGAATTATGACCAAATGACTTCTAGCCAAAATTAAATAGTAAATTCTCAACTACTAATATGCAGTGTACAAAGAAAATACTAGTAAATGTAGTTTATTATCAAAAATATTATTATACTAATAAAAAGATAGTAATAATATACGTAGTATATAACAAAAATATTTTAATTTATCAAATGATCAATGAAAACATGCATATAAATTTAAGTTATCGAGAGACTTCAAATAGTAAACGGGAAGAAGTTTTTGGGATAGAGGATGTATTCGATAGCCTTTAACAAAAAATTCAACTTTAATATTTGGATATTCTGTTGTTTTTATCAGCATCTAGACTCTGGATATCCATTTCTTTCAAATTGAACATTGAATCGTTTTTGTCGATGCGAAAATTTTGGATATTGGGAAGATTAGATTGGATCAATCTAAATAAACCCCTCTATTTGTCACGGGCAATTGACAATGGCTGGGTTTTGAAAACAGCTTTTCGGATTGATTTTGACTGATTTTGGCTTTTTGACTAATCGAACAGCCAAAACCATTGTTTGATTAATGACTTTTTCACTTGGTTGCGTATCTAAAAAGCCGAAATCTGAAAAGCCAAGGGGAGTAGCTTTTGGACTTGGTTGTTAGGAAATTAATTTTTTTTATCATTTTTCTTGAAAAATATTCAATAATATATGTAAAAAAATAAAAATAAAAGTTATGAAAATTAAAAATAAAAATTAAAAAATAAAATTTTAAATTCTAATTATGAAATAAAAAAATAAATGAAATGAGAAAATTAAAAGTAAAAACCATTAAAAAGTTGTATATTATTAGTTTCTTATTAATTACTCCCTCCGCCCCAAGTTAAATTACATGTTTACTATTTACAGGGTCAAACTTCATTTACTTTCTTTCTCTTTTTTCGTTAGTCATTTGATAAAATAAAATAGTTATGTCACGACTAGTTTTGTTGATCTTTTGATGTAGTATGTTAATATGTAATTTTTATTCTTTGATTCTAAACCATTTTTCATATATAATGATTTAAAAATAATTTCAATCAAACATCATCAATTGAAACATGCAATATAGAATTTAGATGGAGGGAGTATATTTTTTAAATTCATTTATAATGATATTTTCAATGTTGCATCCTCTGGAGACTTTTTTTCTTTCACAAAAGGCCTTGGTGTTCCATCAAGTCCTCTCTTCATGTTAACAAATAAATTGAGGATTAACTCTTTGGTACATCCAAGATATACTACTCCTCTCCTAAAACTTTCTTCTCACTTCCCCTTTTTCTCTGTCCTAAAACTACCTTCTCATTAGAAAAAAAAGATGACAAATGACATTAATACCCTCATATATTTACATCAATTATCTTCTAACTCTATATTTTGAATGATTGCAAAAAAAGTTCAAAAAATCTTTTTTAAGGAGGGTAAAATTTGATGTCAAAGCCAAAAATTAAAAATGAGGAAAAGTCAAACTGGGAAGAAAGAATTAGGACGGAGGGAGTATATCCTACTCCACAAACACAAATTAGGCACATAAGACTTAGGTCCCGTTCCGTTCAACTTATTTTTTTAAACTTTTTTCTTATTCTTATTAGAATCAAATTAGATCAGATCAGACCACATCAGATTAGATTAGATCCAATTGAGAATTGTTATTACCACATACCTATTCCAGTACCGAACCTGGGGAACTAACTGGGGGTAGTGGCCACATTATTAATGCATACATACAGATGTGCGGGTAGTCTTGGTTCAATGATGAAAGACGGCGGGAACTTGGGGTGAGTGGTGAAGCCATAAACCGCTTCCAGCGACACGTCGTGTGGTTTCATGTCTCCCGCCAATTTCCAGGTAAAGCCGTGCAGCAAATTGGCTAACGTCGCCCGCACAATCTTCAATCCCAGGCTATAGGCCGGCGGGCACATCCTCCTCCCCGACCCAAACGGCAACAGTCTAAAGTCTTGTCCCTTCATGTCAACCTCCTTCATTCCCCACAAACCTCTCCGGATCGAACTCCTCCGCTCTCTCCCAAACCTTCGGGTTCCTTCCGACAGACCAGACGTTCACGAGAACCGTGGTCCCCCTCGCCACCTCGTACCCCGCGACATTGCAATCCTCCATGGAGTAGCCTGGCGGAAGCAGCGTGCCGGGCGGGTGCAACCTGAATGTTTCTGCCATGATTGCTTCCACGTACGGTAGCTTGCAGAAAGTCTTTCTCTTCTACCCATCTCTCCCGCCCGATCACTCGATCCAGCTCCTCCGTTGCCCTTTCTATGACGCTTGGGTTCCTGATCAATTCTTGAAATGCCCATTGTACTGTTGCTGCTGATGTATCACTCCCTCCCGCAAACATGTCCTGAAATATAATGCTTTCACAAAATTGTTAATATACTTTGTGTGTATGTAATTAATAAAACAGAATTCAATTTCAACAAGAAAACAAAAATCATCCAATCCCTACGTGTATTAACGCCTTTATGCGATTGGGAGTCAGCTCTGCCTCGGGATCATCATGATCCTCATCAGCTTGCTGCAAGAATATGTCCACCATGTCCTTGGGGACGAAATTCTTGCCAGCTTTGTCCATCACTTCCCTATGGTCTTTGATCACAAACTCCAGGAACTCTTCGTACTCTGCAGATAAGGCTCTCAGTCTTTTCACATATCCTTGCAAGTCGAAGCGATTCAGCCAGGGAACCCAATCCCCAATATTGATCGCTCCGCTAAGTAGAAACCACTCGTCAACAAACTCTTGCAGTTTCTTCATCGTAACCGATCCTCTCGACTCCGGATTGTCGTTACAGTACTTGTGACCCGAAACTAGCCTAGTCACAGTAGACATGGTGAACCTCATCAAATGGTCTCTAAGAAACACCGGCTTCTTACCCACAGCATGGCTGTAAAGGCACGAAATCAAAGCCATCCGTTCCTCTGCGCGAAGCCACTCGAAGCTTTCAAGCTTCCGCGGAGTGAAGACCTCGGAAACCAAAATCTTGCGCCCGCGGCGCCACCATGATCCATAAGGAGACCACACCAGATCGGACCGGTCAAAGGTGTACTCTCCTATGGCCGTAGGAGGCCGAGAGGCAAACACCGCATCGTGGTCTTTCAAGAAAAGTTTAGCGGTCTCGGGAGACGAGGCAACTAACACAGGTTTGGAACCAAAGTGCAAGAGCATCAAATCTCCATATTTTTGAGACAGCATGTGCAGAGATTCATGAGTATTTGATGAGCCCGTGAGGAGATTCAAATTGCCAATGATAGGCCATGGCCGTAGACCAGGTGGGGTCTTAGCTTGTGGGCGTTGATGTATGAACCGTATTATGAAGAGAACTGCTACGCCGAGAATCCATGGAAAAACCAAAGGTATTAGATCCATGGATGAGTGTGTATAGGAGAGTAGTACGCTAAGCTATTATAATGCAGGGCGGATCTTTTGCCGTGACTGATGTGTTGGAGCTTGGGAGAGCTTCAACGGGCCTTTCAGTTGTCTGATGTTAGGGCCGCTACAATAGGAGAGCTGAGGAAGATTACTCGATGTACAGGGAATCGTGGTAGATGGCAGTTGATGACTATCAAGCCTCCAAGTGGGAGAATGTTGGGTTTGTGGAGGCTTGGGCTTGACTTTTGGCCCGGCCCATTTTACGAAACCCTAGATGCACTTTTCCTATATATATTGCATTCTTGTACTTGTAATCGGCACCACAAGTGAAATAAGAAATTCCTCCTGTTGCAGCCGTGGATTAGGGAAACCGAACCACGTTAAATTCTTGTGTGTCGTTCGTGTTCCGTTTCTCTCTTGATTCTCGCAGATATTTGTGTGTGTTGTGTGTTTAATTCCCAACAAGTGGTATCGGAGCGTTGGTTCGTTAAGACACCGAAAATCCGATCAGCAGAAACTAATCAGAGGAGTGTCACCTGGGTTCTTTGGAGAAGAACTGTGTGCAGCAGCACGAGCCGGAGTGAGGGCCGCTGCCGCCGGAGCACCACCATCCCCGTTGATTCCCACGGAGCACTACCGCGCTTGAATTGGAGAGCCGCAGCAGGAAGTAAGTCCCGTGAGACTCACCGCTGCCGCCTTCAATCGAGCAGAACCAGACCGCCGCCGTTGCTGGTTCGAGGGGGACCGCAGCAAGCGAAGGAGTCGCTGCCGCCGTCACCCGCGCAGGAGCAGTCTCTGAGCCGTCCGCCGCCGTCACCCCGCCGTTCAGATCGTGCCGCCGCTGGAGATCCGTTTAACCCCATCGTCGCGCAGGAAGCCGGAGCAGCGACAGAAGGAAGCCGCCGCCGC